CAGTACAACACTGCACTGGTTTAGGTCCTACTTAGCCAAGCGTACTTTCTGCATCTGCCTTGGTGATCACGTCCTCCTCTGCTCTTTTGTGTGGGGTTCCACAGGGCTCTGTTTTAGGCCCACTCCTCTTCACAATGCACTTGCTCCCTCTTGGCTCCATTTTTAGAAAATATGGGATCTTCTTTTCTTTGTTACATGGATGAATTTTGTTGTTGTTTGCTTTATTCATGTTTTATTGATTCTATTTTAACCTTTACCTTCATCTGTTGGTTTGGACTTTTGACACGTAAGAACAGGAACAAACTCTCGGGGATTGTCAGGATGTGCACCAAAACTGCTGGTATAGACCTACAGAACCTCGCTGACCTACACAAGGTGAGGTCAGTGAATAAGGCCAGGCAGATTCTGGCAGATCCTGATCATCCACTCCATAGTGAGTTCAGGTTGCTTCCATCTGGACGCAGGTTTCTGCAGCCCAGATGTAGAACAAACAGATTGAAAAACTCATTCATCCCTGTAGCAATCAGGTTTCTCAATGAACACTAATTTCAATACTGTTACTTTAATGTCTTAATGTCTTGTGTATATATGTATGTATATATGTGTATGTGTGTGTATGTGTATGTGCATGTGTGTGTATATGTACACATCTACTGACTGTGAAACTAATTGCCCCTCGGGGATAATAAAGATACTTGAACTTAATACACAGATATATGTCCCGCTAAAGAAAAAGGACCCTAACTCTCTGGGCCTTCTGTTTTCATGTCTGGAGGCATAAAAGCCTGAATGGCTGTGAAGTTCTTAAAGTTTAATGAGGAAAAGACTGAGGTGATGGTCTTTCTCAGCTCCACTGAGACTCCCAATGTAGATGTTGGTTCCTTGGTCCAGTAGATCAGGCCAACTATTGCAAATCTAGGGGTCAAAGTCAATGCTGGACTAAAGTTAGAAAATCACATCAAAGCAGTTGTTAAATCTATTTTTTTTTTACATTTAAGGCAGCTGGCTAAAGTAAAGCCAATTCTTTTTCAGCGGCATTTTGAAACAGTAATTCACACCTTTGTGACCACCCGGCTGGATTAATGTAATGCACTTTATAAAGGACTCTGTGATTCATGTATCTCTCAGCTTCAGAGGGTACAGGATGCTGCTGCACAACTTTTAACATGAAAGCTTGACCACATTTCTCCTATTTTAGCCCCCTGTGCTGACTGCCCGTATATTTTAAGATTAATTTTAAAATTATTTTATTTGCTTTTAAAGCTCTTAATGGATTTGCCCCGCCTATCTGTCTGAGTTGCTACATCCATACACACCCTCTCGATCCCACAGGTCATGTGATCAACTGCTCCTGAGTGTGCCAAAGACAAAGCGTAAGCACAGAGGAGACCATACTTTTGCTGTGGCAGCTCCTAAACTATGGAATAAATTTCCCTTGAACATTAGACAGGCCTCTTTCATGTATGTTTTTAAATCCATTCTTAAAACCCATCCCATCCCTTTGACACCCATCCCTGGCCTTTGACACCATCTGTAATGTTGACTTTTAAATTATTTTCATAATTCTTCATTGTCTGCTTGTATGATTGTTTTATTATGTGCACAGCACTTTAGTTTTGTAGGTGTTTAAATTGCTATATAAATAAAGCTGGTATGATATGGTAAGGTGTTCCATCTTCAAGCGACTTAGTTCGCTATGGCAACCCCTGACGAAGAGAGCAGCTGAAAGAAAAGAAAAAGGTACGGTATGGTACTCCGTATTCATGGTGTACCATGTGATATTGTCTCAAACCGAGGTCCATAATTTATTTCACGGTTCTGTGTGTGTGTGTGTGTGTGTGTGTGTGTGCGTGCGTTGGGGGGGGGGGGGGGGTGTATGTAGACTGCTCGAAATCAATCGCAGTCTTTCCTCTGGTTTTCATCCCCAGACAGACGGGCAGACTGAGAGAGCTTATCAGGAAGTTGACATTAAACTCAGATCTCTCTATCAGCAGGATCCTTCAAAGTGGTCAGAGAACCAGAGAACCTACCATGGGTTGAGTTCGCTCTTAACAGTTTACCATCTAGTGCCACTGAGCTGTCTTATTTTTTTTTTTTTTGTGGTTTATGGTTTCCAACAAGATGGAGGGGGGGAGGGGGGCACTGTCCCCTCTGCCCATGCCACAGTGATGCAATGTAAATGTGTTTGGAAGATGATCCATAGAATCTTTCTGAAGTCCACAGTTTATTCGCGCAACGCCAATCGCCGCTGTACCCCGGCACCTGCATACCAGGAGGTGCAGAAGGTGTGGCTCTCCACCAGGGACCTAACTCTCAAAGTAAAGAACTATAAGCTGGCCGCTAGGTTTATTGGTCCACTCCCCATTGCCAAAGTTGTTAACCCTGTTGCAATTTGCCTACGCTTCCCACGCTCTCTACACATCGATCCCACATTCCATGTGTCCAGGGTCAAGCCGTTCATGTCATGTATTTTCATAACCATACCAGGACTGTTTCTCTGACCTTGCTTCCCCTGTTGCTCACGGGTCTCCTCTTACAGGTTGGTATATCCTGATCTGAACAAGATAGTACTATCTGCCACTTAATCTGTTACTCATTCTTCTCTAGCTGCTTCAAAGCTATACACAATTCCGGCAATCCCATATCCCAAACTGTAATTTATTATTATTATTATTTTTTTTTTGTAAATTACTTAATCTGGTGTGTTGGTTGGATTTTTGGGTCCAAAATAATACAAAATCTTTACATCAGGGGCCTAAAAAACTGGTATGCATAAACATCAACTTTTGGGGGGTGGGGGGGGGGGGGGGGGCTGTGGGAGGAAACAGAAGTACTAGGAGTACACCCCGCTCCCTCCCCACACACACGCAAAATCCTTTCCTCAGGTCTAAGATCCTTCTTCTAATAAAGCCTCACAAGCTCATTTTTCAGTGAGGCCAATTAGGTAAAGCAAACTCTCCAGGTCCACCTCTGTTGCTTAAATCATATTGATCACCGAGGCTGCATGGTAAAATGGGTACTTATGAGTCAGGCCAGAATACAAATAAGCGGGCTTCTGCCCCATCGTTCTGTGTCAGGTGTTCTGCTGCTGACTAAAGGAGATATTTTTACTGAACACAAGCTGTTTAAAACAGGACAATGTTCAACTCAGTAAAATCTAAGCTAATGGAATACTGCAGTGATAATGCATGCATCATAAAGAACACAAATGCACAATAAACCTCTCTAAGAAAGTGTCTTGTCAAACCATAGCAGATCAGGTTTTCTCTCAAGTAAGGTGAAAATGAAGATCTTTTTTGTCAGCACTGTGTGCCTCAATAATAATAGGAAACTTACTATCTTAATGCAACAAGTGGGACAAAAAAACAGATGTTAATGAAAATAGTAAAGGACAAGGCAGAATAAAATATTCACAGTTGTGACAAAACACTAATTTAGACCTAATCAGATTTTAAAAAATTGCAGCAAGACCTGAAGAAAAACTGAAGATGCAACAAAACTAAACCCTTTTTTTAATCAATATTTACATCACAAACTAAATGAATTTTTGATTTTTTAATAACGTAATTTTTCTGAGAGTTTCTTGTAATATTTTGTGCATCTGATCATCAGTATGACAGTATAACCTGGTAATGTTTTCAGGTAACAGTGAACAAATGTAAAGTTACAACAAAAATTTGTAAAATGCTACATTAAAAAACTAACTCCATTTTAGCAAATTTATTCAAACCACATTTATTAAATACGCCAGTGTTGTTTTTAATACTACTAATTCCTAATAAAGAAAGATACAACTATAGTTACATTTTCACCACTTGGAAATGTGTGCAGTGTGATGATGCTAAAACAGCAGAAAATATTGAAGTAACCATAATATAGATATTTATGGTGTTGTATTTGGAAGAAAAATAATTATTAAATATATCAAAGAACTATTGTTTTATGCTGTACATCTTAAATAGGAAGTGCCATTTTCAGACACTTTCCATATTATATTTCTGTCTATTATAGATGGATAAATTAAAATAATTATTCCCAAAATGGGAGGAACAACGATTATAATTTATTTTTGTCACTATCATCAGCTGACATCCTGGACAAAACCATGTATAAAACTATTGTTGTATTGCTTTAGTGCCTTAATTATTTTCCTACTTTCTCTTAATAGAGGTAGAGTTGATGATGCGAAAAAATAAAAAACAGAGTATGGACAATTTAGAGGAGACATTCACTTGTATAAAAAAGGACAAAAGTTAGGAGATGATAAGTTTATCAGTAAGATAAGAACTTTATTGACCCCGCAGCAAATTGTTGATATAATTTGACCATGTGTCGAGACTCCACCACACAGTTTGATGTTAAACATAGATGATGCTTTGATTGCAGTCTCAGAGAATCAGAGCATCTTTCTGACTCTCTCTGAACTGCAGAAGCTGGTCAGACTTCCTGTTGATGTGAAACTTATCTGCTGCCCTCTGCTGTTTAGTAAGCAAAACTACAGGATAAAAGAAGATGTTAACAATGGCTTGTGAGCAGACAAAGCCAGTTCAGAAGAGACTGTTCAACCGTCTGACCTTCGACTGTGAACTCAGTGGCTGACTGCCTGTTTAATGAGAAAAGTGACTGTGATGGCAAAAAGGCAGGGAGCCATTTGGCACAGCTGATAATAAATCAGCCGGCAGATGAATAGATTTCAGGGTGAATCCAGAAAAGACCTCACGATGATAATGGTAGTTGTTGCTGTTTTACACATTTCCTTCCAAACTAGTGGTTCCTGTGTATGTGTGACTACAGAAGTAGAGAAGCAACAACCGGATGTATCGTTGCATCTGTTTTCTCCTGCTCTCCAGCATGTTTGCTGGCTACTTGTTGCCTCAGAAGTAAAATTTTGTATAGAAGCATTATTGTGGTAATATGTAATATTCCATAAAAATAAGCCTTTTTATAGAAGCTCTCACATGCAAACCACTACAGATTTTGCATAGTTCTGGGTGCTGTACCTCTTCGTCTTTAGTATTGACATCCAGTTTCTGGGAGCTGATGGCCTTCCTGACGTTTTCAATGTTATTTTCTCTGCAGTAATCAAAGATGTTCTTATCTTCTTCCCTGAAAGCAATGTAGGAGGAAGAACAGAGAAAAAAACAAAACAGTCATTTGTAGGTAACTATAAACACATAAAGACCTGTGGCACTCTAAAAGGAACATTCATATGAAGTTAAAGACCCAACATGATGTTGAATTACTTGCTTTGGTTTTCCTTGAATGGTTTGATAATTTTGTGCTACTCATTTTTGGCAACAGGAGACATAAAGCTATCTTCAGTGGCTCAAATATGGTGTAAAATACTTTTCAGAGATGTAAAATGTGCTTTTACTTCTTTATGAGTGTGCACATCATGCAAACATATTGCATGTAATGCTATGAATATTCAGTCATCCTACGCATAAATAGCAGATCTTCCCCATCTTATACTAAAGAAGAAGTCACACGTGCCACATCCCTTAGGGACAGCAGCAACATCCCACCTCTAATTATATCTCTGTGTCTCTAATCACCTCCTGGCATTGGGGACAGAGCTGAGTGCTGTGGGGGGTGGTGATGGTAGGAGAGAAGTTGAAAGAGGAGAGAGATAGAAGGGCCAAAATCTCATTTAAAGCTTTACGCTTTCCCCTCCCTCTTACCCATCCCAGCCATTCAGATTAATTGAATTTAGTGCTCTATTGTCAGAAAGAAACCCCACATACTTGACGCTTCTACTACTTCCACGCACCTACACAGTCATCCGTAAAGGCTAACCCTACCATTTCTACCCATAAAGACATATTGTACAACTGCAGAAAACACAGCTGGCTTCAGGAAATGGAGCCACTGCTAACTGTGCCTCCATCAGAACTTAATAATCAGCTCAGACGCTACACCAGTCCTGTTAGCATGGGAGAAAACCAAGAAACTGAATCCCATGCTGGGATTGTGATACAGAAAGGCAGGAGTTTGGATGTGCACTTTCAAACAGTTCAGGCTGAAGCAGAAACAACAAAATCACTATCTGTCAACAAACTTACATCTGGAGTTTCTTCTGTAATATGACTTTGTTGTTCACTTTCTTGAGCTTTTCGCCTACTTGCTCTCTCCCCCTTCATATTTTTTCCTCCTTTGCTTTCCCCTTCATCCTCTCATCAGCCCATTGTGAAATATGAATACCTCGTTATGCTTTTATCACGGCAAGGTTATGTATGAGCACATTCATTTACATACCCCTGATTACTGCAGTTATGTTTATTTATGAGACACAACACTGGGCTACACCCACTTCCTTGTCTGATGGCCACTGTGACCCTAAGTGTCCCTCATGTGTGGGCACCATCCGTCTCCCCCGGCAACTAATCAATAAGCCAGGTCATCAGTCTTTCCTTGATGGTCAGACAGGGCTGGCATGACAGATGTATGACATGTATGTGAATGACGAGCTAAAATACACACTCTTAGTAGATAGTTGAGGGTTATCTAAAGCACAAACACAGAAATAAGCTCACAAAGAGGTCTACACAACCAGCAATTGTTATGATGATTGTTTGTAACATAGCAACTGTGCACGGGAATCCACAAGTCATAAACAAACAAATGATTAATGTGGGACCTATAAACAACAGAGCCGCAAAGCATGCTGGGAAGGTCACAGGCTACTCTGTCATCACCTGGAGCACTAAGGATTTTGTGTTTGCTTCTATTGCATGTGTGTAAGAACCCATGTGTGTGTCCAGTCTGGTGTACTGGCAGATATGTCCTTCATCCATCAGGCCTAACTGGTCACAGAAGTGAAGAATACTCATCTACCTGGCCTGAGCTTCACTGATCAACAACACGGCCGCACCATCCATCAAACACATACCCACACAATCTCTCATCGCCATTTTCTGTAGGACCCTCATCGAGGGTTTCAACAAGACAGAGCTCCATGGAAGTACAGAAAACAATGAGATCTGAAATAACTGGTTTGGCTTCCAGCAAAAAGCTCAAGATACACAGCCTCTGGTATTTTTTCCAAGATCTTTCTTTGAGTTGGTGAACGAATCACGAATGTTGCCTTCAAAAAACTTCTAATATCTCACACTGATCAGCTCCATGGCCCAGGAATATTGCTAATCAATCGTGTTTTTGTCAATACACGCTCCACAAACAGAGAGGTTGAGTGAGCAGCGCAATTAATTCTGTCTGGTTAACTGGTGCTTACCAGTTTAATATGGAGCATGTTTATGTGTGAGAAAGAGGAAATTGAAAAGCAGCAGAGCAGTGAGTTTATCGCTTCTGGTAGGTTATGCATGGCTTCGAATGATATTTGCAGAGATGCATAGTGTAAAGTGCATACTTATGTGTGCACAGGTGTGTGTTTGTATCATGTTAATGTCTTCCTTGTGACTGGCTCCCCTCCATTCCACCTTTGAGGTTATCACTGCTACTGGATGTCACCTCAGGGATCAGCGTTCTGGGCCTGCTGGATCCGCCTCGCTCTGCTTTGCTTGGCGTGTCATCACCCCCCCCCCCCCCCCCACACACACACACACACACACCTGTTTAATTGTATAATTAAAAAAGGGGAGACTCTGGACGCTTCTTACAGGGAATGTGCATACTAATCACGTACAGCCATTTAGGAAGAAAACCTGCAGGATTCGCATGTTCCATTTCATCTCCAAAACGCTCTTTTTGCATTGAAATGAAGATGGGGGGGGAGGGGGGGGGTCCTAAGCTTGAGTAAGTCTGCCAGGTAGGAGTAAATGGAAAATGTATGTCATTAACATAAATCAGAACAGTGTGTGACATTTCCAGACCCTAGCTTCTTCTTCAGACTGTTGAATGAGAACAAATACAGTAAAGAGAATTGGTAAACAGACTTGAACTGGGTTGACCTACGCAGTAGATAGATGATTCACAACAACTGCTAAAGCCGAGTCTGCTCCAGCCTAATTGAGAACTGGGAAGTACTGTCAGAAAACACCAAGCATTTGCCTGCTGAATCGATGAAACATATACGTTCTCGTGTGTGGTTGCCTGTGTAAGTTCTTTAATAAATACCGTATCATTTCCTCCTGGTAAAGAGAGCTGACTGCTGCTCCTCCAAAACCTGTTCTCCTTTCAGCTCCTCGTATTTCCTGTGAGAACAATACACTATTCAGAAATTGTAACCCATTTTACACGTGGTTATTAGTTCAATTCAACATTTACAGATTTTTAAAAATGCAGTTCACCGACCTACTGTGGCTCAGATCAGCAGCTTATGTCTCTGTCCTCTATGGACAAAGGTTTTGACCGCATTCTTTTCTACCAACCCATTACAATAGAGCTGGGGTCATCTTTTCACCATGAATAGCTCTATAGCTCAGCCTGCAGCCTATACGCATGGCAATTTCCAAATGTACAATTTGGAAATAAATACATAAACACTCCATTGCATGTGACCTCATTCCTAAAAAGTAACAATAAAAAAACATATCGCCCCCTTATTTGTGACTCTTGTTAATGCTCGGTATTATTTTTTAAATAAAACTTCACGTTACGTTCAATTCAACAAAGACTTTATTGCCCAGACTATTCTTTTCTAACCAGCCGCAGCTCACAAAAGAACCTGCACAAATCTGATTTCAGAAAACAGGGAGAGTGGGGCGAACAGGGCAAGAGGAGCAAAACAACTGCGAGTGCACTTTTGAGACAAACTAATTCACTTCAGAAACTCAGAATATTCGCTGATGCACTGGCCCTGTTCCTCTGCACTATAATGCAATATAAAGCCAGTGTCTGCTCAACAATTGAGAGAGGAACAGAGGTCAAATTGTGGCTATTATTCTCTCCCCTGATTCTCTGTCTATGCACTCCGACTTACACCATTTAACTGTGCTTCCAGAAGAATAGCTGCTGCCATGCTATGGTGCTTTGTTAACACTAATGCAATCAGGTTCATTTTTGGGAGGGTTGGGGTATGTGCATTTGCTAGACTGTACCCTGTTACTGAGCAGCTGTTTGGCAGAGTCAGCAAGTTATTACCCCACAGAATGACCAAAGAGAAACGTGTCAGGGTTTGAAATGTGGTGAACAATTTCACTATTCAAAAAGAAACAAATGAGAGAGGAGTAAAAAAGGAGGGGATAAGAATAGAAAAGTGGTGATGGAGTTAAAAATAAAAGAAGAGCAGAAAGAGACAGATTTATAGTGAACAACAAACAAATGAATGTGAGTGTGTTAAAGCACAAGAGTAAATCACAAAGCACATGCAACGAGCACAGTGGTGCTTCAATGTTTGTTAACCCTTTGGAATTTTTTATATTTCTGCATAAATATGAACTAAAACATCAGATTTTCACACAAGTCCTAAAAGTAGTTCAAGAGAACCCAGTTAACAAATGAGACAAAATGTTATACTTGGTCATTTGTTTATTGAGGAAAATGATCCAATATTACTTATTTATGAGTGACAAAAATATGTGAAGTCCTGACCTTAATCCAATCCAGATGTTGTGGAAGGACCTGAAGTGAGCAGTTAATGTGAGGAAACTCACCAACATCCCAGAGTTGAAGCTGTTCTGTACAGAGGAATGGGCTAAAATTCCTCCAAGCAGGTGAGCAGGACTGATGAACAGTTACTGGAAATATTTAGTTGCAGTTATTGCTGCACAGGGGGGTCACACCAGATACTGATAGAAAAGGTTCACATAATTTTGCCACTCACAGATATGTAATATTGGATCATTTTCCTCAAATAAATGACCAAGTATAATATTTTAGTCTCGTTTGTTTAACAGGGTTCTCTTTATCTACTTTTAGGACTTGTGTGAAAATCTACGGATGTTTTAGGTCATATTCATGCAGAAATATAGAAAATTATAAAAGAGTTCACAAACTTTCAAGCACTACTGTATTTCTTTGCTTTTGCCTTCAACACCTTGAGCTCATCTCTTTAGAGAGTGTTTTGTGAATTTAAGTCCATTTCTCATTTTTAAAGATTATAGCAAACATCCTGTTTGAATCTCTGCCTTGAATAGTGATGAAACATTTAGGAAATCATCAAGGAAAACCTTTAGTCTCCAAAACTACAAGTTTCCACAAAATTAACAGTTTTTATTTGATATAACAAATTATTATTAAATCATTCTAATATGGTGCTTCTTAATATACATTTTATTAAATTAAGTGTTTTATTTCTACAAGCATTCATGAATAAACAGATCAGGGTTGTTGTTGGGACTAAATGTGCATTCTGTTGCCTCAAAGGACAATTTGTTCATGGCACGACTCTCCAGATACAGTTCAATAACATGTGCAATAATAATAATAATGCAGGAATGGAAAGAGAAGTGAACAGTCACAAACAGTAAGTTGCACTGCATCAGCTTTAAATTCCATAAAGTCAAATAATGGAAAAAACAAACAAATAAACAAACAGAATCTTGCTTTTGTGCTTAATGCATATAAAAAATGAAACTCAAAAACTTGGAAAAACAGTAATGATGCAACACTGACATCTAGAGGCAAAACCCTGCACTACATTGGTTTACTGTAGCAATGACCATGACTGATGGTTGTAGGTTTGACATTATTTCATGTTACTGTGGACCACAAAGACAGATTATCTTCTTTAGCATAGTTTTAGTATCAAGTAGGAAAGGTGTCAAATACAAAATAGCAGGGTTTATTGGATAGACAATATTATCAGGTTAAATAAACAGTTCTCAGCTCTGTAATATCAAATGTGACAGACATAAAGACAGGCATTTATTTCTTAATTTTGATGATTATGGCTTACAAACAATGAAAAAATAAAAATCAGTATCTTAGAAAATCAGAATATTCCACAGCCAGCTTTTGGTCCCTTTGGCAGTGTGGGCAGGAGCCAAGTCCTGCTGGGAAATAAAATCAGCATCTTCATAAAGCTTGTCAGCAGAAGGAAGCATGAAGTCTCTAAAATGTTCTGGTAGATGCTGCATGGACTGTGGAGTTCAGAAAACACAGTGGACCAACACCAGCAGAGGACATGGCATGAACCAGAGACAACGTCAGAATTGTCTTACCTGGACTGAGGAGAAAAAGAACTGGACTGTTGCTCAGTGGTCCAATGTTCTCTTTTCAGATTAAAGTAAATTTTGCATGTCATTTGGAAATCAAGATCCCAGAGTCTGGAGGAAGAGTGGAGAGGCACAGAATCCACGTTGCTTTAAGTCCAGGGTGAAGTTTTCACAGTCTGATGATTTGGGTCCATGTCCTCTGCTTGTGTTGGTCCACTGTGTTTTCTGAAGTCCACAGTCAATGCAACATCTACCAGGACATTTTAGAGCACTTCATGCTTCCTTCAGCTGATGAGCTTTATGGAGATTCTGATATCATTTTTCAGCAGGACTTGGCACATGCCCAAACTGAAAAAGGTACCATAAGCTGGAGATGTATTATTCAAATATTCAGAGACGCTGTTTTTTTTGTTGTTTTTTTTGGATTGTCATTATTTGTAAGCAGTAAGCATCAAAATTACAATAAATAAAGGCTTTAAATATTTCACTCTGTGTAAAGAACATATATATAATATACAAGTTTTACTTTCTGAAATGAATGACCAAAAGAAAAGAAAAAACTTTTTCATGATATTCTAATTTTTTTTGTGCACCTGTAAAACGTACTTAAACTTCACAGAGAATAATAAATATATCCAAAAATGTTTTAAAGTTTGAATAACTTACTTCTCAGTTTAAATTTTGAAACAAGTACGGATCTACCAGAAACAGTTCTTGTTACCTTTGTGCTGCCTTCAGGGTCCAACACATTCACACAAGAAATGTACTCTCGCATTGCCTGCTCCGCATCCATGTCTCCAAGCTGCTTCCAGGCGTGCCTGCCATGAAATCATAAGTCTGATCACACTCCTCCTGAGCTGCACATCAGGAGTGGACAACTTTAACTGTGCTCCATGTAGTGATTAAAAAAAAGTCTCTAGAAGTACTAGAAAATTCTAATAGTACAATAAAACTGGAATAAAAAAAAACACATTTAAGTACTTGTTACAGTAAATGTATTAAATTAGTTTGAGGTGACATATTGTAACTTTTAAAACATATAGAGATTATCTTTTTTTATTTTGTACAGGACTCACTTTCCTGTACCTTTTATCTCTCCTGCACACATGAACAGTTTTTTTTTGTTTTAAATAACAGAACAGACTGGTCAGTTTGCCATTTTCCAGTATTATTTATAGGTTGTTTAATATCACGCAAAATTAAAGCAGCATACCATTTTCTCTGTCCTTCAAAATCAAAAAAGCCAGGCTTTGATGTATTGCACTTTCCCACTTTTACCTGTTAATAAAATAGAAAAATAATTACCTGGTAGTCGTTTTAATTAAGTGAGACATGCAGACGAATAAGAAACTCAAAGATGATGGAATAATTTACAATCATTATTTGGTTGCTGGTCTTAAGTTATACGATGTTAACAACTGAATCAGTGCCATTTTAATTCATGTTAATGTCAAAACACTGGCCTGTTTATAGCGGGCGTACAGGTACAGCAGCTGGTCCCTGCTGGCAGTCTGGATCAAGTCTCTCACACGGTCCGCTGCAGACTCAAACTCCCTCTCCAGCTCATCTCCCTCCAACTGATCCCCCATTTCCATGGAGCTACAGTCAAACTTACTCAAACCCAAGTCCGAGTCAGAATCCGAGCCAGCTCCACCGAGAGGCTCGCCGGTGTCGGGCCGGGCTGGATCCGTACCGGAGCCCGTCGCAGTGTCCGGAGAGGACGACGGAGAACCGGAAGCCATTTTATTGTTTTTACAACAAACCGTTTACCCCGACGACCACCGTCCTCCCCCTGCTGTGAAGCGAAAACAGAGTGGTATATTTATAAAGTGTTTCCGACGTAATTTCGTTTCTAATTCGTTATCATTAAGATTCAGTTAGAGTCGGACTTGTTTCTACAGTTAGTCCGTCTCTGGTACTGTCGTCTAAAAGAGCCGGGCTTCATTTATTGCTCAGTGAGAAAGGTTCCGGTGTTGTGCTAAATATAGTACTCTTGGGGAAATTCGGTTATCTTTTAAATGACAGTCAAGAAAACGAATATTTTTGGGCAGCCTTGGCTTTCACTTGCTGTATTAATGCAAATTACTTCCCGCAACCCGAAAGGGAAGAAGAGGGCAAAGATAATGATGGATGGATGATGGATGTACTTTCCTTGATTGCACGGTGATGATCGGCTGTACGTCGGTAAAAATCTCATTTCAGACAAGAAGCAACATAATAAAATTATTTTTTCTGTATTTAAAGACAAAAATGCAGGTGTGTAAGAGATGAAAAGTTTAATGAATTTCACCAAAACAGATGTGCAGTTATTAGATCTCTGGTGCCCCCTAATGGTAATTGGGCACCGTTGCATGCGAATGGTCCTTCAGGGGCGCGCACCCCGAGCAAAGCGATAATGGAAGCTGGAGGTTGGTGCAAGTGCAACTTAATGTGAATTTATCTTTATAACCTGTAAATAGATTGTTTTGTATCTTTTTAGACATTTTTACCTTTTGTACATTTTTATAATTATCTTGTTATTTTTTATTCTTGAATACTATCACCTTTGTACCTGTTTATATATCCCTGGCAGACACATGTTTGTATTGTTGATAAAAAAACTTAATTAAAAAAAAAAAGAGAGAGAGAAACCACTCTACACTCAACATCTGTTTAACCATATTTATTCTAAATTAATTCATCCATAAAACTCGTCACAGGTGTATGAGCACTGTTAGTGTATTTTGTGTATGTTTTGTCGTGTTTGTGTTGAAATAACAACTTTTTGAATAAAATTTGCCCTGTTTAGCATGCTAAGCTAACAGAAGCCAACACTCCAAGTCGTTTTTCTGATAGTAATAGGTTCTTTATATTTTTGTCCTGAACAGATCCGTGCATGCAACTGTCGCACACAAACTGATGGAATATTGTGCACTGTTTATTATACCAGGTAGGCTCGAATGGGTATGAATATATAAAGTATTTTTAAAATGTTTTACTGTTATATCTGCCAGTGTTAATCTACTGTTCTCATACTGTTAGCTGTGTTTTTAATGTTTTATGAGAAAAGAAAACATGTTCGTTTGTTCAAACAGTTTTGTTCCACCTCATGCACCACATGTGATGAGAATGACAACAAAGAACCTTGACTTGACTTGACTTTTACTCTAAAATGTAAAATTGTTGCATGAATATATTGAGGAAGAAAATAAAAACAAGCTATATCACACATAAAAAGGAAAAAAAAAAAAGCGATATTGGAAGCTGGTGGAGTTCCATGTGACTGTCGCACACATACTCAAGGTCAAGGTTAAACTTTATAGTTTGCATCGCATGTGGTTCATGTGGTGGAACAAAATTGTGTGCGCAGGGTCCCAGTTACATCCAACAATAAAATGTAAAAGAAAAACAGTAATAACATCTAAGATATGAACTAAGAAAAACATCAGCTAAATATACACTAAGCACTAATAGCATAAAAACATTACGTCGAACAGCAGCATCTAAGATATGAACTTAGAAATACAAAGTACACTAAGCAAAAAATACACTAAACACTTAATAGTGCAAAAACAATACGCCGAACAACAGCAGCACGAACATGAGTCTGTGTGAGCAGATGAGTATGAATGAATATAGCAGCATGAAATGAATCAGCAGCATGAGATCAGCAGCATGGATAGTCAGCAGCACATATCAACAAATGGCATTACTGGGATGTTTTTTCACAGTGATAATCCTGATTAGTGATTCATGAGTCTTAACAGCTTCAGGGTAGAAGCTGTTCCTCAGTCTAGTGGTTCTACACTTAATGCTCCTCAACCTTTTGCCTGAGGGGAGCGGGGCAAAAAGTGTGTGTGCTGGGTGAGTGGGGTCCTTCATGATGCAGGTGGCCCTCTTCCTGCATCTGGAGGTGTAGATGTCTGTGATGGTGGAGAGACTGGCTCCAACATCGTCTGTGCAGCCTTCACCACTCTCTGCAAAGTTTTTCTTTCTGCAGCTGTGCAGCCTCCATGCCACATGTTGATGCTGGAGCACAGGATGCTCTCCACTGCACACCTGTAGGAGGTGAGGACTGAGCTTTATACCAGATCCCTGCAAAAGAAGAACATTGAAGAGCAGTCCTGTGTCCATGACCTGATTTTACTTGCACTTGCTAGTGAAGAAAAACAACACTGAGAGTTACACATGTCCTAAATGTTTTATTTTTGTATATTTTCTTACTTAATTTAAAACATTATTTGCTTATTTTAAAATAAGAATCTTAAGTTTATTCTCTAATATGAATGCAACATAATATAGTGGTTTTCAGGTTCATCGAGTTCTAATGCAAGCAGTATGTTTGAATAAACCGGTAATTTAATAATGTTCGTTAAAAGTTTTCAATTTATGTTTTCCAGTTTATTGTATGAACACTTACTGTCAGCTTGATGCTGTGGCACCATATGTCCAGCAGAGATCGCTGTTAGTAACAAGATTACTGACTTTAATGACACGATGACCTCTGAGTTTTTTCATTCAGTGTTTGATCACATTGGAACCAAAGACGTTAGTGTAACTCTAAATAAGAGTACTTTTGTTTGAGTTAAAATAACATAAAAAAATATACCAAAAGTGTAATATAACTTTAAGTTAAGCCTTTATAATTCTAAATTTAGGCCTTTGCAAAAATACCATTTTCACCTTTACTGCTGAAATGTTACTTTAACCAAAATAAGTAACATTTGCTTCAAATACAAAAAAGCTGAAAAGGCAAGAGGATTATGTCTAACGTTTTTAAGATCTGATATAAAATAATAATAATAAAATAACATAAAAGCACAAAGAAAAACTGATGCTTTTTGCGCATATACAGTATTTTCCTCCAGTTAGATGAAAGCAAACTTCACTTTACAACATCACTTTAATAAACAAACATTTAAACATAATTAGTAAATGTTTCTACACAACTATATTTGTATAATAAAATTATTATTGCCTTGAACTTCCTCTTCTAAAAGTATCGACCAACACTGATTAGGAAACATCAAACAATTAACTGCCTTAATTTGTTTGAATGAAAATAATCTGATTCAATATAAAAAAATTAAAAGATCTGTAATATCTGTTTGTTTTTTCTGAATGGCAACCCCATAGTATCACCTATGATCTTCTTAAAAAATAATCACTGAACCAATCTAAATGTAAAAGACAAATTGAAACTGAACAAGTTCAAAGGAGAGTGCAGCATTTATCATTATTATAGTTTCCTTCTTGCAGCATCTAAGACAAACAATAGTGACATTATAATGACAGTAAACAAACAACCTTTCTGGAACTCTTATAACAAGCTAAGACAAAGTTTTACATCAGACAACAAAAAACAGGGCTATAATAATCCTCAGATTCAGACTATTTGATGACGTAACGCAGGTTTGAACGTTTTACAAAACACTCCTGCCCTTAAATCTGCGCAGAAGTGTAACTTTCCCCGTCTTTATTTGCAGACTCCACGTGCTCCTGAGGATATGATCCTGAGATATGCTCGAAGGCTCTTTAAACGGGAAGAACCATATTGACAGACAGGGTGCGTGCGTGCAGTCCCAGCCAACAGCAGGAGGTCCCAGCAGCGCGCGCCGGGTGCCACTGCGCGCTCTGCTGACGCAACCACGTCAGTGTAGTCCGCTGCATGGCGGACCGTAATGTCCCCAGAACTGCCCAGGGAGGGACCGAGCAAAGTCACTGAGACACTCTCACATTCTTCCCTCCGACCACCTGTTCTCCAGAGGCTCCCGCAGCGGAAATAGTATGCGGGACGTGTTGCGCGCTGAGCGGGACGAGCCTGAAGTGGAGTGACGCGTCCGCAGCCAAGCAGCAAGTTGACCGACAGAACAAAAGTCGCGTCGACCGGGAAGAAGGAGGACAGGCGCTCCAGGATTTAACGCAGCTGCCTTTTTTTTTTTTAAGGGACACTTGTTCTGGCAAAATGAAATTCGCGGAACATCTTGCGTCCCACATCACCCCAGAGTGGAGGAAACAATATCTTCAGTATGAGGTAGAGATAGGTTATTAAAATAATTGGATGTGATCATGAAGGGAACAATCTAATGTTTGGATTATACATGGAAACAACAGTTTTCGTCAACTTAATTTATTTTAAAGCATGTTTTGAAGTATATTTTTTCAGTTTAAGTGCAGCCTTCTCCTGAGAGCCATAAAGAAGTGAGATGTCCTTTTGTTTATGAATGAAGCATTGACTGCGGTTGTTAAGAGCCATGGGGAGCATTCAGGGTTTATTGTTGTTTGCTGAACTAAAAATTAATCAAACAGTTTTAACTGAGTCCTTGTCGAAATATTAGGGGGGAAAAAAGACATTTTGGCAAGTCCCATATTTGAATATTAAAATTTGAAGATGTGGTGTTCACATTTTCTCGAGCCATCGAAACAAATATTGACATTTTGTTAGATGAAAAACAAAAAAAAACACTTGTTTTTGTTCCCCTGTTACTTTCTTTTTCTTTTTTTGTTTTAGTCTCATTGAATAATTTTCAGAAGAAAAATGTGTTTTCTGTGCAGAGTAATTCTAACAAACAACCCCACAGTTTGATTTCACCTTATTTCTTTTGCTAATTTTGTCTATTTAACTAAATATAAGGACAATCCACAAACTATAATTAATTTGATTTTTTTGGGATTTACATTTCTACATTTTTATCATTTTTTTACCTCAACTTTGAAAACAGGCATTTCTACATAAAAGATAGTGTTATTCTCTACCTTAAAACAGTGCAGGTTCAGTGAGGAAGCGTTCTTCCAACACGATGACCCATCTCGTTGCTGCTGTCTGCAGATTTAGAAATAGATCTTTGTTTATGCACACACTTTTGTTGGATTATGTACAATGTTTGAGGAGCGTTTTATTCTCACCCCACTTCTTGGTGGTTCTTCAGTGAAAGCGTCAGTGCAGACATGCTGCTCGGTTCCATTTAACGCTATGAATTATAGACAAAGACCTCCGTTCTCTTCACCCTGTGCAACCTGCACGCCAGACCCAACAGAAACTCACTGCACTCTGCAATATACCCTGAATATTATTTTTAAGCTTAAAAGTGGCTGCAGTATAGGGGGCTCTCCATCTTGACATAATATCTGCCATTATTGTGTGATAAAAACCTGTTAAGACATCACACAAAAGTGGGAAAAATCATGAAAAATAGACAATGTTTGAGCACAACAGAAGAAGATTCTGAAGAAGTAGCTCATATCCATATAAAACATGTTTTTATGTACACACGCACATAGTCATGGTGTTTTAGTTTGGACAGACTAGAGCACAGCACAGGGACAGATGCATGGCCATACCAGCCATTTTACACCTCCAATCTTCACAAAGGCGCTCGCTGACCTGAGATGGAAGATGATAGATTTCCTCGGTCATGTGTGTTTTAAGCTTGTTGTTCATCAGCAATCAGAATTTCACATGGAAAATTTTAGTTTCATCACATTTTATCAAAATATATCAGCTGTTAATGATGTTAAAGGTGTTTAAGTTGTTTTAAGTAGAAGTGATGTGCTTAATCAGTGCTATGTGTTAGACGTATTTAACATCAATCCCTGTCAATCATATAATCACTGACAGTTTATGGAGTCACATGCTCAGTTTGTCAAATATTGCTCCCAACAAACATGTTGTGTTTATATTAAGAGATTAGATTAAGTGAGTCGTTTCACACATTTGGTGTTTTTCTTACATCAGAAATATAGAAAAGTTGTGGCTTAAGGTGTGTGTGTGTGTGTGTGTGTGTGTGTGTGTGTGTGTGTGTGTGTG